ACACATAATATGCTGCCGTCATAAGTAAAAACTCTGTAAGTCCCAAAAAAATAAAAATGAGGTTATAAAAAAAAAATATTGTGAAATTCGGCTTGTGTAGATGAAATATGAATATGYTGTATGTCTGAAATATTACTCCAAACATATGATAAAATCAATGATCAAATAACTTAAACGCCGTAAATCGTAGAAAATACAAAATACATAAACGCGTTTTTCTCAAAATCGTTCTCCAGTGACTTACGGCGTTTTCGCTTATGACGGCAGTATAGCATCATCTAAAGTTCAATATCAATTGAAAAATAATAAATATACGTCTAGATTAGAAAGCACATAAAAGTATTTTCCATGATTGTTTAACCGGGTGTTTAACTATTCTACTATACTAGTAAGATTTTTGAATAAATAATAATGTCAATGTCTAAAAATATAAATACAATATGAAATTGTTGACGGTTTTAGAATGCTACTACAAATGATAATTCTATATTTATCATCTTCAGATTTAATCTTGTTACCCAWTTTTTATCAAACTTTTTTTAGTACTACATAATAGAAATAAAAATTTATCTTGGAAGTATGAAAAATTCAATTTAATTTAAATATACATATACCTACAACACATTTGTATTGTTTTATTAATTAAGTTAACAATTTAGAGACTTGTAATTGAAAATAACTTGTCTATAGATATTGTGTAAGAAGGAAATGTCTCATAAACTTAATATTGTACAATTTCATCTTTATTATTGTTAATTAATAAGCATTACATGTTCTAAATAATATCAAACAACGGTTKGACACTTAGGAACCTAAATACACATATTCATTAAATGAYGGACTGAATCATATAGTTTAATCAATAAATATATATTTATTGYTTACCTAACCACATTACATTTTGTCAATTACATTGTGAAAGTGTCAGGTATAAAATAAAAATACAGACACTTGAATATTTTTTTTTGTCTACTTTGTAGGAAGTGTATTACTTTTAAAGTTTATTTAAAACTTAACATTGTTATGATTCTTCAATGTTTGAAAATCRTCRGTAGATTTTCCTGGAACTGAAAGAAACTAATGCAAAAATCAAAATAATGATACTTTAAGCCTTAAGGTGATCATCATCTCGATTCCAATGTTCAAGAAAAATTTGTGCAGTTTTACATTTACACAAAAATAAATTTTAAAAAAACATTGTGAGAAGTTAATGTTTATTTGGTTTCAATGAGTTATAAAATACAATTAACTAAAATTATATTTGTTCTAAAAATGTAACTTAAAATGAAATTAAATTGTATACAATGTTTAATTGTTGTTAATGTTATAATAAAATAGAAATATTGGTACACAATAAATATAGCTGCATAGCTTGTATCGTATACAACCTTATTAAGTAAGAGTATATTTTTAAGTAAAAATATTCTAATTGAATTTATATTCATTTTTAGTAGTTAATGTTAATGATTAAACTTTCAAAAACAAAAATATTTGATCCCTTGAATTATATTAACATAAAAATGATAAAATAAAAAGAAATTAATATTTCATTAAAACTATAGGCTTTTACTTTTACCTTAACACATTAAAAATATCTTTGATTTATATAACACGCAAYAGTCTTTAATGGTGTTAAATAAAAAGTGATATCAGTTAAATTTAAACTTTATTTAAAGTAATGGATTAACAAAATTAATAATTAATCCCAATAGGGTTCATCAATTGCGTAGTTATCAGCATCATAGTTGTAGACAATATTATCATTTCTATCATTTTGAGCTTGTACTTTGTATGGTTGCATTTCTTCAAATTGAGCTGTCTTTGGCTTATAAGCGCATGTTTGTAAATGATTTGCCATTTCATATTTTTCTACATAATAGTAATGRCCATAAGGGCATTGAACTTTGTTCGGAAACGACTTTTTGCACTTTTTAAGATGATATGGCAACCTGTGACGGCGAAGTTTGTGGTTTGGATCTAATGGACATTGCACTATGTCCAAATAGTAGATACCAAAATCGACAATCTCGCATGTGGATGGATCGTCATTACTTGAATCTTGAGATGACGACATTTCTAAGTTGCCTGTTGGTAAAATAATTTGTCAATTATTAGGTATGTAAGAACAATAGTATAATATTGTTTTTACCAATAAAGATTTAGTAAGATGATCAATAAGAAAATAATGTGTGCATAATATGTTTAGATTGTTACCAACATATAATTTTAAATAGTTAATTAAAAACTAGGTACATATTCAGATTTAAAAATAATTTAACAGAAGAATTCTGTAAAATCATTTATCAAAAACTTTATAAAATATACAACACGTGTACTGAATTAGGTAATAGGTATTAGGTACTGACRCTTTGCTTTGATCTGCTTAAATTTTAGAATTATAATTTACTTAGCAGTAAAATATGAACAAAAATTACGTTTTATTTTCTAAAAACTTGAAGATAATTTTGAATAAAGAATTACAGCAACTGGTAATATCCAACATTATTCTGAAAAAAAGTCCTTGAAAAAATTAAACAATGGTTTGAATATATAATTATTACATTAATTTGCTACTTAAACATATAAATACTAAAATTAATGGTAAATTAACATAGTCATTATTATCATATTACTTTTCAAAATGTGGATCCAAACTCCGTCAGGATAAATAATRCAAATTGTATTAATATTTAATATGAAATATTAATAGTAAAAATTATAAACAATAGTTAGAGAATTATAGATGAATAATTTAACAAAACGTACTGTAATCAGCGATTATATTGTGATAACTTGATGTTTGACTTGGTAGAAACTGTGGTAAACATACCTATATAGTACACACGATTTAAGAAATCTTAAATCGTGGGCAGACAATTAGACATGTAAAATCTAAGACCATAGATAAATATAAGTCCAAGACTATAACTATTACAAAGGCACTATAATAAGGACCTACATCTACCTATATTGCTCTAACCTTACTCATTCCTATAATTGACAATTGTCAATTGATATAATAGCCAATAGGTATGATTAAATAATAATAATATTAAGTTCATTGAATCATGAATTGATATGGATACTAATATCATAATATTGATAATATTGTTCTGTGCTAATTCGATATCACATGAGAGTAAAATATTACCGTATGGTCAACCGTGAGACAACACAAAAGCAAATACCTTATCAATTATCATAATCGTTAAAAATAATAAATATTTAAAATGTTCAAATCGCAAAACTTTCTTCAGATTTTTTGAAATTTTGATTTATTCAAATATTATGTTTAAGTGCGCGCGTTGTAATCATACATTTAAAAAAAAATACAATTTAATTAGGCAAATAAAATTACACACGGAGGGACGCACCGTTAAATCTTCAAGACCACTGATATATGCAGATATTGAATTAAATATAATTAATATGAATTTGCTTGTTTTGTGTTGCTTGCTGTTAATTGATCTTCGTGTCAAGTCGTTGGTGTTTATGGAATAACTGGGGACGAGGTGGCAGCGGTCTA